TATCAGTTAGAACACCACAACCACTATTTATTAACTTACAGGGCTGTTGCACGTGCAAAATGTTTACAAAGGTTTAGCAGGCCAAAGAAAAAATTAGTTGCTCCAAATGAACCTAACAACTAGTTGATAACATGCGGATCAAACCCTATCCTATATACAATTGCTTAAGCAATTTATCTCATTGTGCATACTTGCTTCTGGTGTGCAGTATGTAACAAGCCATGTGAGCAATAGCCCAAGTGTGGCACACACAAAGGTCGAGGTCTGCATCTCCATAAACGCCTAACCAGCAACCTACTTTTGTTTTCATATTCATATTATTAACATTCAGCACGACCTCTAACTGTTTTAATACACCGGTACAAGGACGACAGTTTGGCTGCAGATAACGATTACATTATCATGCATTTCAGCGGAAGCAATACCATTACATCCAATAGCAGAATCGCAAGTGAGGATGCGCATCCACATGTATACGTTAGCTTTGTGCTCCTTCAAATTAAATTCATTTCTCTCTATTTGAATTTATAAATTACAACGGTCAAAAAGGGAACATCAAACTGTGGTTAAAACTATGAATACGCGGAGCATCTGATCTAAATTATCTGACAGTAAACAGGCCGCCCAATCAAACTCCTGAGGTTGACAAGGCGTTGTTTGGGTTAATGAAAGAGGTGTCACAAAACTATGAGCAAATGATAACCGGAGACCTCAATGCGCCCATGGTCGAGTGGAACAATTTATTGCTAAGTGGTTCGCGAAATTCCTTTGATTCCAGGTTCTCAAAGTTAACAGCTAATCTCTTTCTAGTACAAAATGCCACGTTCCCAACCAGGATCGGATAGGACCAAAGAGCAAATTGTCTGGTCCTTACAAAAGACTACCTTAGTCCTGACGTACATAGGCCCATAGCAATGGGAGTTTTGTTGGAGTTCCCCATCTGCCTTTGCCTCGTGGACTTTGTGATGTCACGTGAAAATTTTCTTGGGCATCCGTTTTAGGTAAACAGTTTGAAGGGGTGCTTCAATAATATTGCGAAGATTTAGTAGGAAGGGAATTCAATTCGTACTTTTATTGGATGCTTTTGTTTTGAGCTATTTGACGGTGTAACGCTGTTACTTTCCACATTCCAGCATAATGTTTTTGCAAAACAAAGTGCAGGTTAGAGATTCCAACGTAATTCATTGAAATATACCAGATGTTGGGCTATCCAGTCAAGGTCATACGTGCATGAGTGATTAGTCACATTTTCGTGGCTGCAGTGAGGCAGGGAGACGCTAGGTCTCCGGTGGCGCCAAACTCGACGGGACCCGCCCATATTTTCAAATTTCAAGAGGCCGAAACCCTCGCAAGGGGTGACAACCGCGTGAGCCGCGAGCTACTCGACTCATTATTTTCAGGTCCGCAATCCATCATCAAGCACAATGACCTCCCGCACCATATTTCGTGATGAGATTTTCCTTGAGCAGAGGAATCAGTCACGTGGGGAGGGCGCGGACGAGAAATTATCCCAGTGACAGTAAGTTAATTTGGCGAGCAATCGTCACACCAGCATCCAGCACAGATGACGAAATCACGGCCATTAACGACTCGGACTCCGACAGACAAGCCCCGACCGCATCAATTACGACCCCAGCGGTGATTGCGAGAGCCGTAAATTACAGCGTGCATATGGTCCCACGGCAGCCATGTGCTATAAATACGGCATTCCTTGTGCCACCATCACCTATATCTGCGAATATCTTTGATGATGGATTCGAGTGAGTATCCGAAGCGTAAGGCAAATAAATTTCTTGTTCCGGTGATCGCAGCATCGTCTTCTGAACTGCAACCTGGAACTCGCCTGTTCGCTTCCGTCAGCAGTCTCAGAAACATTTACATTAACCAACAAAGTGAAATACAGTTGAGCATCCTCCCTCACCTCTCTCATCCACGTTAATGAATGCCTACCATTATGAGTGCCCCAGGTCCGCCTTGCCTACGGGGCCGACGGAAATCCTAACAACAGCCGGCGCATTGAGAACTCGCCAGACCCTTTATAACTGCTGTCCCCAAGACCCGTTGTTTGGGACTACTGCGCACCCAACACTGTGACAAAAATGCCCACTCAACTGAGCGTGAAACTGCTGGCCTCTAACTGACGCAACTTTGGACTGACCATCAATGTGAACAAATGGTTGGTCATGAATCAACCGACACTCAACGCTGCATACACTGCATTTCGTATCCAATCCGACGAAATCGTGGACAACGTCGTCTAATTAAACATCATACCCTTATGCTGTATGAAAATCAACGGCAAGTTGGCTACTTTTACCATATACCTGGGTTTCATAACCTATCATTATAGAATTTATTCATATTTTATTCTACTAGCGTCAAAAGGAAATGGAAACAAGCTGCAATGCGAACATTGCATTACTCTCATTAGGCACTGAGTGATGGCTCTTTTTTTGCTAAATATGTCTATGAATGGACAATCCAGTTTATTTCTGGCGATCACCTCAGTTACTCATGCAGATTAGTTGATACGGCTGTGGCTGTGGGCAATCAGTCTAGGCGTCTTTTGGTCGCATGTGCGCATTGCATGTCTCAGCAATAAGTTTTTAGCCATTATAAGAGCAATTATTGGAGAATGCAATCTGTATCCCAATTCCCTATTTGTAGAGACAGACATTGCATAAGGGCACACACGTAATGCCAGCTCCTTTTCTTATGCAGTTATCTGCCAAATATAATATTGTTTAAAAAGCAGAAGACCTCTGCAGTAATCTATAGTAATAAAATTGTTGCGAAAAATATATCGGAAAGTTCGACGTTCGCCAGCTCTCCGATTTCACATTAATATTGGGAGGATAGTAAACAGGACGACATGCGAACCCAGATATAGGTATGTGTGATATCATTTAATTCTCGCCAATCAGTTTTAATCGGAAACATAATGTTTAAACCGTCTGTGCAATAGCACGCAGGTACGATACTGTAAATCCTAAGATCGTTTTTCTTCCAAAATGCACAAATAACCTTCTTTTTAAGAGCTGGACTTGTTTTCATTACCGAATACAAATATTGCGCGCATATGAATACTTATGCAACCAAAAATAGTTCTAAAGTTAGAAATAATGAGAACTCGCACGAGACTGGACTATGCTTTTCGATTTTTTTAACCCTAGCGGTCCATTAATATTTTTTGCTATGCGGCCGCCTTTGGTGATTCAGATGAATGTTTTTTTCTGCATAATGCGGTAAATCATGGCGTATTGCAGTAAATAAGGTAAAAAATTTACAGCGATCTTTTTAAGCGTAAAGAAACAATCCTATTAGTCTGGTCAACGGCCTGCCGCTTTTGATGCCTCCGTGATTTTCGGTTTGCATTGGATTTGTGTGCTAAGGTGGGATTAACGTGCTCTATCATCTGGACAGATGCAGTTTACAACAGTCTCAAAATATATTTAGGCGTTGCAATTGTGTTCGTGTGAAGATAAAAAAGCGAAATGCTTAAGAAGGAGCCCCGAGCGTTTTATGATCTAAGGAAATTTAAACACGTTCTAGGATGGTTGGAAGATGACGGCCTTCATTGCTTATCTAACTATTTTGCCATATTTCTCTAAACAATTAGCAAAATTATTCACAAAAACGTAGCAAATAAAGGAACGATTTTCTTTTTAAAAGTTATTGTGTTTGTTTACCTTCAGGCGGAACAAAAACATATTTTTCTTTGAGTAAGCGTTCTCATCGGGTGGCATAAATTTCGTTCAACTTGCAGACAGCCAGCTGAACGTGATTCTCTGAATTTCGAAAAGTGTCGGTCATTGAGCATTTGCAGACAGTTTTATTCAGAGGTTCCTTGCATTTAGGATCTAATCGGCCATTCAGAATAATACGAAATTCGGACGTGGAATTTTCTTGAAACGTTGAGTGCCAGCGTGCTTCAAGTAATCGCGGCCCTCTCCACTGAACTTAAAAGGCTTCTGCAAGAGACGAAGTACAGTCTGTATACATTAACAGGTCTTAAACCGCTAACAATTGTTCGCATAATAATAAAAATTATTGCTAAATTCTAAGTTTATATATATGCGTATGCTTTGAAAGAAATAAGCTCTTTGGGAAAGATAAACAAGTCGAATGCACTATCACTGGGACAGTAAGTATATTTGCCTGAGCTTTCGAACTCGAACTAGAGTTCATCATCAGAGGTTACTCGAGTGCAGCAAATTGTGGACATTTATATCGTTCATCCTTGCGGGGGGGGGAGTACGTCCGTGGCTAGGTCGGGTTTGTGCCGCCTGGTCCACGATGTTCCCCCGGCGTGGTGACGCCATTTGCACTTCGCGACGGTGTGAGCTGCGCCACCTGGCTGCGTGGGCGGAGCGCGTGATAACACGCAGGCAGATCGATGTGTCTGTTGATGGAGTTGGTGTCCGACACCCACGCCTCCAACAGCTCTCGCCCTGTCTTGTTGCCGGCTCGCGCCAATATCCGCGTGTTGGCGAAGTCGAACTCATGCCCTTCCTCGAGCGTGTGACTGGCCACTTGAGACAGTGGGTCGCCTCTCCGAACGGCCCGTTTGTGCTCAAGTATTCGTGAGCTCAGACGTCGTCCTGTCTGGCGTGTGTAGTAGCAAGGACAGTTTTGGCACGGGATTCGATAGACTACGCCCGACTGTTCACCTGCGTCCAGCCGATCCTTCATTTTCATGATCCTGCTACGCATGGTGGCCGCCGGATGATGAGCAATGCCCACGCCTAGCTCTGACGCGATGCGTTCTGTAGCCTCGGACACTTTCTTTATGTACGGTATGGAGTGCCAAATTGTTGGTGTCTCTCTTCCGTTTGTCCGGCGTGGGTGTGCGCGTGTGCAGCGACTGATAAAGCTATTTGGGTAGCCGTTCTTTGTTAATTGGTCCCGGAGATGCCGTAGTTTTTGCATCCTTCCTTCGGGCTCGCTACAGTGCGTTTTTACCCGGTCTAAAAGCGCCCTCACACAGCCCCGTTTGTGCATCAATGGTGGTTGCTATGATAGTTGAGGACCTGGGTTGTATTGGTCGCCTTTCTGTACACTGTAGTGCTGCGGTTACTGTCAGGTGTGCGCGTGACGAGCACGTCCAGGAAGGGTAGTTTTTCGTCCTCCTCGTCTTCTCTTGTAAACTGAATGTCGGGGAATATGCTGTTAAGTAGGTCTTGGAAACCCGATAGCTTGTCCTTTTCAATAATGACGAATGTATCGTCCACGTATCGGCGCCAAAACGCAGGTTTGTAACGGCTGAAAGCAACCTTTTCAAGCTCTTGTAGGACCAATTCCGCGACTAGGCTGGATATTGGGGAACCCATGGGTGTTCCTTTGATTTGTTCGTATGTTCTGCCATCGAAGGTGAAAAAGGTTCGTTGGCAGAATGCAAAGAGCTGCAGTAGGTGCTGGATCTTTAGCGGCCCTGTCGTTTCGTTGTATTTTTCTTCGAGGCGTTTGCGTAGCACGTCGCGCGCCAAGTCTGGTGGAATGGACGTGAAAAGTGAGACAACATCGAAGGATACCATGATTTGGTCGGGTTGAATAGTTTTTCCCCGGATGTCGGCAAGGAATTGGGAGGCCGAATTGACGGACGTCACAGAGCCCTCTCGGAGAAAATTGAGCTTTCGTGACATCCATTTGTCTAAATTGTATGTGGGGCTGCATTTCTGGGCCACGATTGGCCGTAGAGGAACGTTGGGTTTGTGTATTTTTGGTAGTCCGTAGAACCTGGCCAACGCCGTGGCGGTTTGTTTTGTCTGGCGCCATTCGTCTGGCGAGATTACATTGTTACGCCGAAGTCGGCTTACGAGTCCAGTCAGCTGGCCAATCATCGATTTGGCCTGCGAGGCGGGTGCGGACCTGTAGGATTGTTGGTCGTCCAGGAGAGCTTGTGCCTTCTCGTTGTAATCAACGCGGTTCATCACAACTGTTGCTCTTCCTTTGTCGGCCGGCAGCACAAGTTTTATTGTAAATTTTCGATCTTGGTTCCCCAGGTCGTCTTCAGGCGTGAAGTAAATGTGCAAAACAGTTAACATTTAAACACGCCGAAAAAATCCAATTTGCCTTGTCACTCACGCTGGTGTAATTGTAGGGGGCGCTCACCGATCGTTCATACGGAACTCACTCCCCTGCCAACACATGGTTCCGGGGGCCAGACGGGGCTAGACGGGGCTAGGCCGCGTCCAAATTTCCATCCTTTCTAATCACGTCATTCTGCATTATTTTCGACGGTTTTAGCTTTATTACCGTCAAATATAAGCTTTTTAACTTGTATAATGTGTTTTCAGTCGTATGACATCGAGAGAAATTCATGTTTCACGAATGCAAATATTGGCCTTGTTTAAGTCGGTCATGCACCTACCCACGTGGACGGCACTTTTACGCTGACTTTGTGCACGCGTGATCCATACAGCTGACCGACTCCTGATTCTTACTTGGCTCGTTTTGACTGCAGTACTTTATTCATTTACTTATTTATTTCTTCTATGCGATGCAATATGTTATTGTAATAAGTAAATGCTTTATTTTAGTCTCTAGAATCGTAATTTAAGTTAGTTATAAGAATGGCACGTAATCTGACTGCTTGAGTGTACTATATAGCGGTCTAATATATGTTAATGTTATTTATATGTTTATTCTAAGCAAATATGGAAAGAAAATACTGGGAACTTCATCGCAGTACAATGCACAACATGACTAAGCGGGCGAAGATGGCGTAATATGCCGCCACCGATGACCCCTCGCTCCCGTCTACGTCATTCCTCGTAACGGAGCCATCACCCGAACCATCGATGCCGCACCTTAGCCCTGAAGTGAGCATTGGTAAGTGTTATATGGTATGCTATAAGACGATGTAGACGACGACCGGGTTGCAGATGAAAGCTCGAACCCGTTCAGTGGCAATTGCTTCCTGACAGAATTGAGGGAACTCTGCTTAAGTGTCCAACTACCGCAGGCAACATTCAAGTTGTTGTTCCAATTTTAGCGGAAATACCACCCAGAGGTGCCCAAGGACCCGCGAACTCTCATGCAGACACCGCGAGCATGCGTTACTGAGTCCCTCTCTAACGGCAGCTACGTCCACCTGGGCCTTAAACGCGGTCTGTTAGATGAGCTGAAACTTCGACCGTCGGCTTTGTTACCGAAAATACGGGTTCAAATCCACATTGACGGAATAAAGTCGTTTAAAGGGTCTGGCCAGTGTCTATGGCCAATCCTCGGTCGAGTCAGCTATCCTGTCCGTGGACTGCCGTTTGTTGTTGGAGTGTTCTCTGGTTCCGGCAAGCCTGAGCCTTTGGATGTATTTCTTGGCCAGTGCATCTCAGAACTGAAGGATATTCTGATCAGCGGACTTCAGGTCCCGGATACGGACGCTGTAGTTAGAGTTGAGCTGGCCAACGTCATCTGCGACACGCCTGCTCGGTCCTACGTCCGGCAAGTAAAAGCGCATAATGGCTATTACGGCTGCGACAGGTAATTGCTGTAATCGACGAAAATGTAATCCTCGTAGGTGTTGTCATATGGGTAGGTCCGTGGCAAACCGCATGACCTTCCCCGTACACAGCGGGCGTCTGCGGGATGACAGGTCATTCCGTACGAGAAGTCAGGAGAAGCACCATAAAGGCACCTCACCTTTCGATGACTTGCCTATTGATATGGTTGCTACGTTTCCAATTGACTACATGCACCTCGTTTGTCTTGGTGTCATGCGGAAGCTCCTACATGTGTGGCGGCTCGCAACGGGGAAACACTCCATTACTATTAATGCGTCCATTAAACAATGCAGTCAATGTCTGCCTGCTGAATTTTCCCGCAAGTGCAGACCTCTTGACTGTCTTGAGTACTGGAAGGCTGCAGAATACCGTCAGTTCCTACTGTACATCGGTCCTGTATTCCTAGCTAACCATCTTGATTCCTCCCTTTATGAACATTTCCTTCTTTTGTTTATTGCCGTTTTTATATTTTCCCATCCCATTTTGCATAAATCCCTCATTGATTTTGGACGTTTGCTATAAGATAAATTTGTTTCTGATTTCGAAATATTGTACAGTCCTGCAGATCTTGTTTATAATGTTCGTAGTTTAGTCCACCTCCATGAGGACGTTAGTCGTTTTGGAGTTGGGCAGGTTCCAACGACAAGAAGTCTTTCGTAGGGAGCCCTCTGTTCAGTGTCCTAAGTGGTCTGTTTATTATGTTTTTTAAACACCTGCAGATGCAATACGCTGCAATGAGCAGTACCGTAGCTGCCATTCCGAAGTAATTCGGCAAACAGCTATTGAATGGTTCCAAGGAACCCGAGACCGATACGGAGGGCGAGCCAAACGGCGTCGAACAGCAGATATGGTACCTATTTTTCTAACAAGTTTTTACAACACATGGATTTAGGGTTCCCTAGAACATTCTGCGAGCAGCTATGAACTTTCGCAAACAATATCGGAGGACACAGTGAGTAACTTAAAATTTGCTATGTAGCCGGCTAAGCTATGACTTTCAGTAGAATTTTTACTTACCTCTATTTAACATTAGTAATAATTAACATTAATTATTCAACCTGTCTGCATAATTTTCTTGTGCTCAGTAAATTAAATTTTTAATTTTTGCATTTAGACATGCATTTAATTATCGGATACTTCTTTCTGATATACTTTTAAATTAATAAATACTGATTTCAGTTTTTTTCATTATTTTGTAGCGTTATTTTAACAGCGATACTTGATAAAAACATTTACAGGGGACATAAATGGTAGTGGCCCCGCCCAAACGGGGCCCAGCCCCGTCTGGCCCCAGGGGCTAGGCGGGGCCAGACGGGGCTGGTGCTAGCAGGGTCGTTTCGTTGTGCCATAAGGCATCTCTCTCGAGCCCA